CGATTTTTTTCGCTACTTGTGGTCATGCGGTTAYGACGTTTTTCTCGTTATTCGAAAATCTTTTCTGCTTTGCTGTCTCTAACAAATATTTTTTTTCCTGAATACCGTTAACAAGAAAAGGAAAGATAGTGTGCTGATACCTTCCTTCCAATACCATGTACCAATAGATATGTTGTAATATCTTAAACACCTGCGCTGGACATAGATTGTAARGAAATTATTGTATTTGGTGCCAGGTCTGCCGAGTTTCCTGGCTCACTTTTTTTAGAAAAAAATCGTCAATTTACTGTCCAGTAAGACATGTTCAATAACGCGTAGGAGTCATAAAATGTCCATTTGCCTGCAAATCCTGATCTTTTGGTAACAATACATGATCAGGAAGTACACCATTCAAGGTGCTGGCCTATGTAGTTTGCCTCACAAAACATTAATGTCCTTTCACAAAATGACATGTTTGCTGTGTTGTCAAATATGAATAATCAAGGTAACTTGTATGCTTGCTTTATTTAATTCGACAGCCCGAGGCTGAAAAAAAATGTCCAGGAAATCCTCTAGCGGCTTAGAACACACACAAWCTCTCTCTCACAGCAGATTTTCAATGTTTTTTTCCCCAAGGTTTTACTTGAAGACTTGATTCTTACAGAATAACAATTTCTAATTCATACACTAATTCTTAGGTTTGTGTTTTTTGTTTATTTTCGGGAAACAAAAACATTTACTACTAACCTGTAAAGTTTTTTCGTCGAAAAGAAGAATTTGATGCTGTTGTTTCAGTGCCTGGCTTTTATACTTGTATTACACTGTCATGGAAATCGACCGTTTGCAAAGAACCATCTAATAGTCTGTTCTCTCACAATGAGCCGACTTTCGATTGGTCAGTGATACCCTGTCACCTAACGGGCGGCTTTTATTTACGGGTAAGAGACTGGGCGACCATGATATAAACAATTAAGTCCGTAGATATTGATAACAATCAGTGATGTAAACACAAAGCTCTTTTATACTAGATATACTAGATAAATACCAATCTGCATTCTGTTAGCAATGTCCCCAGCCAAACAAATAATGAATAACACAAATACGAAAACGCTTTTTAAGTGAACATTAATCAACAAGAACCATAAAAACCTTTCTCAAGAAAGGTTTTATKCATTATATTCGACAGGAATAGGCTTTAATTAATGGTTTATCAGTTATAGAATGAGTAGTGGTTTACATATATTTCAAGCTGTTTTATAAACAGTTGGTCCGAATAAGTCAGTACGCCGCATGGTATATATTCGTAAGTGCGTCTCGTTTAATTTACAGTTACGTATCGCAAAGACGTTTACGTCTAGTTATCAGAAAATATAATAAATTGTCATATATGTATACTAAGAAGTTCTAAAACGTATACATACAGCAGGAAACCACAATGATATATGCAGTGAAAACCTTTATATATCAGATGACCATAATTTTCACTTTTCGTGTACTTACGTAAGTGTAAAATATGTCAGTTAAGACGTTTACGCAGGTGCCCTCTTTAAGAAAAGAGCGTTCACGCTCAAATAAGGAAGTAAGTTGCCACCTTTTCTTGTCTGTGTAAGGCGATTTGATTCACACAGTTTTATCGTGTGTTTTTTTACTTTTTATCTGAAAATTAACGAAACCAAAATGAAATCTTTGACAGCGCAATAAAGAAAGCGATGCGCGCGTAACGCTTCCGCAACAGGCAAAAAGGATGCGATAACTTTGATATATTTTCATAAACTTTCATATCACGATCGTGGGTTTTCCCGATAAGATGTTTTCCAGGTTAACGATCAAACAAACTTCATTGAACTTAGCGGTTTATGAATAGGAAGAAAACGAACAACGATTTTATCAATACAAATTATTGATGACGAAAGTCTATATTTGAAAAATGCCGCTATTATTAATAGTATATAAACAATTATTGACCATTCAAAAAGCGTACAGTCTATATAACCAACCTTGCTGTAAGCATAACGCCACAAGGAGAATATACCAGCTAGAAATGAGTTATTGTCCTTGCCTTGTAGTTTTTTTTCTTATATTTGATTGCCACACAGTTCCTCCAGCCTTTTGTTTCCCGATTTCCCGCTTCGTTTTCACTCATCACAATACATGCAGCCTTTTTCAGGCTATCGCGAACGTGCACACAGGTGGCTTCAAGCTCGTTCGAATATTCAAGAAAAACCTGTATTGAGAGTGTTCCTATTGAAGTGCTATTCAAAAAACCTTTGTTTCGTTTAGATAGTCTCGAGCGTACAATTCAATGCTGCGGCGTCTTCGGGAACCTTTGTCTGAAAAACCGCTAGTTAATTAAGATCGCAAGTGCTGGTAATAGTTCGGGCAAACAACTGTTTAAAGCTCTATCGAACTAAGACTATCTTGTTGTACGAAAAGGTTCCGGAAAAATGGTACTCAGAATAGTCCTAAGAAAACAAAGGACGACTAAGCCATTTTTGCAAAGACATGACTTTTAAATGGTGAGAGTTATAACTAGCAAATATTGATAAAATTTATATAAACATCGTTAAAAGGTTTGCCATGAGTTAAATACCAGTGTATATAAGAATGAAACTCGAAGTGCATAGCAAAATGCATTCGAACTATAAGCTTTTTGGTGGATTTTCTTTCGAATATCGACTGATATCTGCTTTAAAGACTGGATAGACATAAAAGTCTTGAAATAATTAGAAYTTTGTTTTGAAAAGCGACAATGAAACCCAAGGTGTGAAGCAAAGTCGGTACATGTATAATGTTGCAATTAATACTACAGAATTGGTAACCTGCTGAAGTCTCTCTGTTTCTTTGTCGTCGAACAAAGTTTGAAGCCTAAACGCCTAACACTTCGAAGAAGTGAATAATTAGGGAATTATTGCAGCTAATAAAAATGATATGAAATAAAATAGAATTTCAATAGCCTTATTGTCGCATTCTCGTTATTTATTTAAAAGTGATAATCGATTACTGTATGTCTTTTCTTTGCTTGTTCAAACATAACGTGTTCTTAGTGAGATTTCATGGATCACAATTTAGTAATAAACCTAACGACACAAGACTTCAAACTTAGGATTTCTGGATATCACAAACTCCTTTTTGTCTTAGCTTACAAGAGATGGGCACAGGCAGCGCGTCAACTGCAATGGGTGTGGCTTCACTGTAATTTCGTATGTATCTGCTGCTATTTTTATATCTTACCGGTACATCAATATGCTTCATCCAACAAGTCAGTATATACCATTCATCAGTTAAGTCATCTAGAAATTATCTGAAAAGRTTTTAAACATAAACCATTGCGAGGGTACACTTAACATAACACTTAACATGAGTGAGGTGCATGCKTAATGGCRTACTTAAGTCCATAGTTCGCTTTTGAAAAGAGCTGATGAAATTACGAAACTGTTTTAAATGCGGGAAAAGGTCCTTATTATCCATTGGTTTTTCATGGGAAATTAGCGCCGTCAAAATGCTCGAAATCAGATTGGCATAACCATTTCTAAATGTGCTCGAGTGAGTGGAACGCGTCTTACCTTTGTTCCGAATAGCCCCCAAACCCCCAAAAACATTTATAACGAACCCTACATTATGAAACATGGGATTTATAATTTCCAAGTACTTGTTGAGGAAAGAAAAATATTGTCTCTTACAGTCTGTTGAAAGATACTCGTGTCTCATGAGATCGTAAATAACAACAGGATGGGTTTGGCTGAAACAAAATATCAATAAAAACTTCAAGGCAAAATATAATGTACATTTGTTAGTGTTTCATTTAGAAATCGATTGGTAGATAAGTGCAGTTTAATTGCACAGAAAACTGGCGCAGAGGAAAACGTAACACCTGAGCGCGTTATCTTTSTAGCACGGCTTTGTTGCAATAAAGTGATCATCGTAAGGCGAGATGAACATTATCAGATTAGCTACTGACCACTTTGGTTTAACTTTTCCTGATGATTTTTATGGGTTAGACGGACCGTCTTTTAATAGTTGACAAGGTGTTCTATAACGCTTAAAATGTTGGCGTCATTATGTCCATTCTTCTCCAAAGAACCGTCACTTGAAAAGGCGCGCACTACCTTTGCTACACCGCCATGTTACGACTGACAAAGTTGTGTTAATCTATACCGTGTTTTCGCGAAGTCTTGTCAAATTGAAGAYACTCAAGSMAAACAACCTTCTGTGTGGCGGATATGACATTTTATGCGGAGAAGATGAACACCGAAAATATAGAATTGAGACAAGAAATATTTACTCCTCTCGGAAATTACTTTCACAGACACCACAATCTGTAAACAACATTAACCACACGAAATCCTCAAATAAAACGACAGCTTAATCATACGGAAACATCATCTTAATAGTTCGGTTAAGTTTGAAAGAGCGCGCTGCTGGTTAGGTTTACCGATCAATTTCATTAAGGATACATATTAAATGTTCTTTTTACAAGGGAAAAAGGAAAGAAAAAAGTTACACAAAGGTTCCGATTGCAAAAATAGACGAAAACGACACTTAAACATTGCGAATAGGAAAATAGTAAAATAAAAATGGAACATTGTACAGAATAAATTGTAAGATCAAATTGATATCATACAAGCTTCACTAGATGAACTTTTACCAAAAAGAAAAACAGACCATGTATCGAGATATCAGGCACTGAATGGTGAATCTACGCATCGATTTACATTACAAAGAAGGTAATTTCGGTCGATCGACCCACCACGTGCTATGCCGACAGTTAAAGAGGATTGAAATAGCTCTCTTTAACACTTGACTATCAATAAATTTACATTCGCATTGTTCTTGCTGTTCCGAACTTTTTAGAACTCGAAATCTTGAAGCAATAGACGGAGATCGTCATGGAAGATTTAAATATATTTATCTATTTTTTATTTATTTATTTATTTTTTCATTTGACTTCTGAACTGCGTCACCGCTGAGAAGTTTAAGAAATTAGCCAGGCGTTGCTTGTCTCTAGTAGTTTCCAGTCTACTTGCAAGAGCACTCCCAAACAAGATGGCGGAACACGAAAGGAAGTAAGGAAAGCAGAAGGGTGAAGATTTGAATGAATGAAGACTTGAATAACTATGAGACCCCCACCAGTCGTTACTGGAATCTCTCCAGCTGAAGGACCCCCAGGAACAAGAGTCATAATTCGAGGTGAACATCTTGGAATTAACTTGAAAGACTTAGTAGGTAAGACGAAACGATAACACTCCAAACTTTTCACTTWAGTTGTTTGTGTTTTGATATTTAATTTATGCCCAACATAMGTTTTCGTAGAACAAYGAAAATGCGTGTGCWATCCTATGTAGAATTGTATAGATCGACAAAATAACTATGCAATAACCACTTCCTGTCCAAAAATGAATATAACAAAGTTTGTATAATTCAGATATTGGCGATTTTTCATTGTCTAGAACATCCATAAGACTTACATGTGAATGGCAATGCAAAAGCAATATTTGTGTACTTATTTGTTTTTAAGGGATAGCACAATATTAAGTAYAATGTATGTTAATGTTAAATAAAAGGTTTAACTATTTGTGGAGCCAACTGTCTACTGTCAGCTGATTACAAATCAACAAGTAAAATCATTGCAAGGACTGGACAAGCTAAACCTGGCAAAGGAGAGGTTATTGTGACAACAAAGTCTGGTGGAATAGGGACATGCACAGTGCAGTTTAAAAGTCAACCCGTCATTCCTGGTAAAGCACATTGAGATATCAAGTAGTCTGTTCATATCAGAATATAAGTACATATACATGTACACAAGTTTTAACCCTGAAGACTTACTTATTGTGCTCATGTATCTTGTGAAAGTKCCATCAGTGCAAGTTTTGACATTCTTTTTAGCACAAATTGGTCCCTTTCACTGGTACCTGAACCATCTTGAAAGGTAGCCGTACTGTTCCTTTAAACCGAGACAACCATTGAGTGTGCAACAATAGATACTTGTGAATAATTATCTTTAGGTCTGAAAGAAGGTTTCTATCACTGCATGCTCATCTAGCTTCAGTGTARCACAGCTTTCTTTTAAGATTGCACAGGGAACTATGATTCAAAGAGACTATTTCTTGCACACACTTACAGTCTCATATGGACAAGGCCTTTACAAACACAGTGAGCCCAAATGATAGT